CCTCGCTTCCCCTCCCCTCCTTTCTCTCACTCTCTGCCTCTGTTTTTGCTGGTCTTTCTCTCTTACTTTCTCTCTTTGTTTCTGTGTTTGTTTCCTTATGGCTCTCGTTCTTCTTCTGCCCTTCTCGGATTGTCTCTCCGCTTCTGTTGTCTTTCTCTTACTCCCTTGTCTTCTTCCTTGTGAATTGTCCTTCTTCCTTCTGAGTGATAGAGGGAGAAGGACGGGAGGCAGGAAAGGCAGGAGGAGAAGGAATAGGGGGCAAGCGATTCTTTCCAAAGCGATTCTTTCCAAGCGAACATAATAGGCGGAGAGAAGCGGAAAGGGAATGTGCAGAAGTAGACGGGAAGGGAGGGAGAGAGAAAGAGGGATCTGGAGAGAACAATGAAAAGGAGGATGGTGAGGTGATGAGAAGAGTGCCCTTTGCATGCCCTGAACTCTCCGTTCCTTTCATTTCTCCTTCCTTATGAAGATGAATAGGGTAAGAGAAGAGGAAGAAGGCGAAGGGCAAGGAAGTAAGAGAGGCGAGCGAAGGAGGAATTCTCCTTTCTTCTCCGAACCGTCTTCCCGCATCTTACCGCTTCCTTTCTGTTGTCTGCTCTTCTTTCCTGATGTCTTCGCAGAGCCTTTCCTCCTTATCCTTTTCTTTCCTCTGGTCATTCAAAAAGGAAACGATGAGGAGACGCGAACTGATTCTCCTTGCTCCTTCTTACCACACTCTGCTTCTCTACATCCCCCTGCTTTCTTTATACTCGGTTTGGTGTTCATGTCCTCGGGAGGCCCCCTTAGGGAGGAAGTTGGTGGCCTCCAGAAAGTTGTGGAAGTGTCTGAAGGCGCCTACAAGCCTCCTCGAAGCCCTCGCGAGGCCCGGAGTCCTTTGAGATACGGCAACACTGGTACTCTCTCGCTTCCTCTTCTGTGTCCTTCTTCCTAGTCTTCCTCGTTTCCCTTTCTTTCGCACTCGACTTCCCCCACTCTCTGTCTATGACTTTCTCTTATCCACTTTCACCTATTGCCTCGCTTCAGTCCATGCCCTAGCCTTCACTCCTTTCCAACCCCTTCTGACATGAGTAAGCATCAGGAGAATGAGAGGAGGAGGTGAGAGGGACGAAGAACAGCTCTCTCCGTTACTTTCTCTCATCCGCTTTGACCCCTTCCCTTTCCTAGCTCCATGCATGCCCTGCGCTAAGAGAAAAACAAGAGAGCAAAGAGGAAGAAGAGGAGACAGGGGCTTCCGCCCTTTCAATACGTAGCTTTGGCTTACGCTTCTTCTGGCCACCCCTTGCCCCCTTCTCTTATCTTCCTCTCTCTTCTTCCTCTGCTGGGCTTGAAGCTCTCCCTCGCTCTCTCTGTATCTCTCTTCTTTCTGTCATTTCTCAATCTCGTCCTTTCCCTTGTCCACTTTCCTTCCTGGTTCCCACTTTTCCGCCAGACAAGAAAATCAAAGAAAGGAGAGCGGGCGAGCGGTGGGAGAGGAAGGGCACAAGGTGAGTGAAGAGGAGAACACTTCTTCCTCGTCTCCCTCCACAAGCTCTTCCTGGTTTATCACCAATGAGACAGTGTGATAGGACAAGAACAAAGAATGAATAGACGTGGAGGTCAAGGCACTGTCGGCTGCTTTATGCATCGCCTCCTCTTTCTGTCTCTCTTTTTGATTATCTTTCCCCCTTATTTTCTCTCTTTGTTTCTGTATTTCGTCCCTTATGGCTCTCTCTCCGTTTCTTTTGTCTGTTTTCTTACTCCCTTGTCTTTCTCCTTGTGAGTCTTCCTTCTTCCTTCTGAGTGATAAGGGGAGAAGGACGGGAGGCAGGGAAGGGAGGAGGAGAAGGAACAGGGCAAGCGATGGGACAAAGAGAGTGAGAGAAAGTTGAAGATAAGTATCAAATCAAGCATAATGTAGTAGGCGAGAGAAGTGGAAAAGTAAATGTGCAGAAGTAGAGAGGAAAGGATGGAGGGAGAGAGAGAGAGAGAGCGAGAGAGAGAGAGAGAGAGAGAGAGAGAGAGAGAGAGAGAGAGAGAGCGAGAGAGAGAGAGAGAGAGCGGGGGAGATGGACAACGCAATGAACACGATGAAGGAGGAGATTATGAGGAACAGTGTCACTTGCTCTCCCTGAGCTCTCCGTTCTTGTCGCTTCTCCTTCTAATTGTGAAGAAGGATAGGAGCAGAGAAAAGAAGGCAAGGGCAAAGAAAGTCAAAGAGCCGAGTGAGGGAGGAATCCACCTTCCTTCTCCCAACCATCTTCCTCCATCTTATGTCTTCGCTTCTGTTTTCTATTCCTTCCAGCAAGGGAGCAAGGAAAGAGGGGACAGAAGAGATGAGAGAGCGAGACACGGCAGAGAGGAAGACAGAGCGAGAAAAAGAGAGAGAGAGAGAGAGAGAGGCGGAAGAGAGACAACGCGAGAGGAAATGAAAAAACGAACCACGTCGAGAGGAACTGACGTCGTCCCTTTGCCCCTCCCTCGTGTTACCCCTGTCATTGACAGCAGAAGGCGACAAGAAAAGAAACAGAAAAAGGATCAATCAAAGGAAGGAGAGAAGGGAGAGACGAGAGAATGAAGAGTTCACTTCGTCCATCTTCATGCCTATTCCTCTGTCATGACTTCAATTTCTGTGTCTTCTTGACAAACGGCAGAGTGGATAGGCAGGAAGAGGAACGGGAATGAGAGAAAGACACAGGACGAGAAATACACAAGACAGATTCTTGATGGTTCCCGGCGCGAGAGGGACGGGAGGACATTGTGATAGACTGTGATAGACCCTAAAACCAGCACGGAGAACTTGTGAGAGCGTAAAACCATCTAAATCCTCATAAACTCCAAACCTTAGATCTTCCATAGTATACTGACCCCGGTAAACCATAGTTAGGAGCTAAGACCCTAGACCCTTAAACTCCTGTCGAGACCTTTACACTGTACACGCTTCGGCCTCCCGATGTAACCGTCATGCCAGACCTTGTCGTCGCCGTGTTGAACCCAGTCGTCGTCGTGCTAAACCGAGTCGTCGTCGTCCTTGTCGCCGTGGTGTTGTTGCAGTTTAAATACAAAGCCCAGCAGGATTGCCAAATAGACCCTAAAGGTCCATGCCACATATACCTATACATATATGTATATATGTATATATGCTTGTGTATAGATATGTCTCTGACCATGCATGTATAGGTGGGGACACTCCCAACATGTTCATTGCCAGCATATTGCTGGCACATACTTGTCTCGTAGATTTTTTTTGGGGGGGGCGGGGCTTGAGTTGGCTTAGTCTCTAGGTGGGCATAACGTGAAAGGGTGTAGGAGGGCTCAGTAGGTTTCAGGGGGCCTTGGAATTTAGGTGGGCTTCCGTGGTCCGGAGCTTCAGTCGAAGGATCAAGGAAGGTTCGGCCCAGCAAGTCTTTGTCCTGGTCATTAACATGTTTTGATGTCTGGAGCCCAAGTAATGCTGCGCTGGATTCCAGAACCCTGCCTAATGCCTAGTTTCCGAGTCCAGGGATTAGGGCTCAAGGTTTAAGGGTGATTAGATATCATGTCGGGGCTGAATTTCTATTAGATCCGAAATGCCTGCCTTGCTCCATTAAATAATCCTGACTGTGTAAACCTCTGGTCTTACATTCAGACAGCACGGTAAGCAGTCGTGAATACATGAATGCACTAGCTCGTTCGAGTCTAGCTCGGACTTGATAGGTATGAACCGACTACTGCACTGACCACCTCCCCAGACATCAACCTGAACTCATGTCCCTGTTCTGTGTCTTATATGGTTGTGGCCACGCACACTGCTATGCCAATACAAGTCAACTCTTACTTCACCTGAGCTCCATCGGTCAGCGTCCTAAATGTGGTCCCCAAATTATTGTTGGATATTCAAATTGAACAACGAACTACACACAACCATGCCCCAAAGCCCGATCCTCGACCATGTGACAGAGCCTGGAAGTGTGAAACATTGGCCTTGTCTTGGGGTTTCTGGTGGTGCCAAACAGTGCTTCAGCGATGCAGGTTTTGTAGGATTTGATAAAGGGTTTCCCGTATTCTGGGGTGCTGGGCTGGTCACTACAGCTTGGGGTTTGCCCTGAACCCTCTCGAATCTTTCCGACCCCTCACGAAGCCTAAAAAAACCTGACTCGAAATCCCATCAAACTTACCTCCAATGCTTCCTATGCGCTTCTGTTTGAAAGCACTTCTACTTCAGCCCACCCAAATACCGAAACTTACCGACCGAATCTGTATCGGGAAGCCCACCTAAACCCCAAAAACCTCAAGGCCTCCCCAAACCCACCGAACCCTCCTAAAGAGCCCATCTATCAGACCCTCCGAAGCCTCCGAAACCTTTCGACTAAAACCCATCCAGACCCATGCTTTCAGAATCGAGCTCAAGTTTTGAAATACATAAGTGAGATGCTCCATTTCTGGTGTTTCTCGGCCTCCGTCTTGAAGTGTTCTTCGATCAAAGGCCCCTTCGATCCTGCCGCACTGCCCGCCCGACGGCGCTTGTTGCCGCCTCCTCGCCCTGCAGCTGGACCAGGGCTTGCGAGCCTGCGACACATGTTCTAGAGGACTTGACTCTACAGGGAGAACGAAATAAGTGGGATATATATATATATATATATATATATATATATACATATACATATACATATATATATATACACATATACAGGGCCAGGGAGGGCAAAAGGTTTGTCAATGATTGGGTCCGACTGGGTGTCGAACTGTATAGAGGATTGCACATGAGGACGGGTTTAGGCTTTCGGCACGTACTCGCAGTCTTTGGTTTAGGGTGCGTTTAGGTCTGTTAGACTTTACATATGATATCTATCATTGCGAAGAGACCATATACGAGCTAGGACACACGCATGCGCTGCACACCCAAACAGGCTAAGGAATTTCCCTGCACATGACGTGGTATACCAATCAAGAAACCTGGAGCAGCGCTGCCATTCACACTGGACGCTGCGTTCGAGAAGTTGTCGTATGCACGTAGCACATCACCCGCTATGGGGGCGGGGCGCTTGGTTGCTCGTCCCAGCATAGACGGTGTGAGATTCTGATCATTCAAGATGCGCGTTGCACTGTCGGCCGTCGGTCGCATATTCACACGCAGATTCTCCTGATGCCTGGCCAAATGGGTTGTAGGAGAATCACAGCTCACAGTTTACACATGTTTGTATTGATGCAACCGAGAAACCGAACCTCTAGCTGGTCCTCCCTGCTCTCCTCCACGGTAATCCAATAACGGGTTTCCTCTAACACATCCGGTGCATCCGGATCCGGATGGCCCTGGTGGGTGGCGATGATGTGGGCGATCTTTGCCCTCACGAGGGTGAGAACTCTCACAATTACAGAATCAACCTCATGTATTGGCAATATTGCAATCAAGCAGCGCACTGAATGCGTAAGGAGGTGCACTCATGTCTTTGACTGGCACCAACTTTTTGATGGAGCGGCCACGGAACAAGTTTGTTCGAGCAGCCTCGATGTGTTGCTCACATGCCTGGAGGCTCTCTCCAGAAGCCACCCACTTCCTGAGCAACTCCCCTTTCTCCTGCCATAGTAGACAACATATCAGCTGAGCATGCACATGCTCCCCCCGTTCACCCACACACATGCATCCGATGATGATGCAACAACTGAAGCCCGACATTCTAAGCTAGGTTCTTCTTCTGAGGACCCGAGCCCTAGTTATTAGGTTATGTGTTAGGGTCAGAGCTTGTTGTACTGCCTTCCCAACTTCCTATTGCATGACACAGCCGGCTATAAGACCACATGCCTCGCGTGTGAACACCAGAAACCCAAATCCCGTGAAACAACCATGCGATGGCCTTGATCGTACCTTCAGACAACGCGTGCATCTGCGGGAACCGCTCTGCAAGCGCTCCCGAGTCGATAAGCCGCTTCTTGGGATACAGACACAAGCAAAGCTGTGTTCAAAATATTCACGAGACACTACAACACAGAAGTCAGTTAGTTGAACTCAGCCAAGAATCCAACCGCATATATTCTTTCTTATGCGTCGTGGAGTTCACCACAACCGCCTCCCCTTCAGGACAGGCTGCAGCTGGCGGCACCGATGATGCTGGATCCCGGCGCTTCGACGCTTGGATCGCACGGGCCTGCCTTTCAAGCCTGACGGCCTGCTTTGCCTTCTCTTAGAGTAACAGCAGAGGAAGCTTCCTCCGCCTCAGAATCCTCAGCGGCTTCCGACGAAGCCGAGTCATCATCGTCATCACTAGTTGATCCATCATCTTCCTTGGACTCTGGCGGGCAGGGTGCATGGACATCATCTCTCCCTTCCTGCTCATCCTCTTCCTCTCCCTGCTCCGATTCATGCTCCTCTGCCATTTCATCTTCCTGCTCCTCTTCCTTTCCATCTTCCTGCTCCTCTTCCTTTTCATCACTCTCATGAGTTTCGGCATCAGAAAGCTCCTCTCCATCCAAGCCATCAGCACCATCTGATCCAGCACCTTCATCCCCTGCAGGCATCGCCGGCAACTTCTCTGCTGGCTTCTTCTTGCTTGCACTGGCAGCAGCAGCTTGCTTGAGCTGTTCTTGCAGCTTGGCCACAACCCCAAGAAGCTGTGTGACATCACCAGACTCGACTTGAGAAGCCGAGTTGCCAAGCCTCAGTCACAGATCCATGGATCCCATCCAAACAGTAACGGTAGCTCTTAGTTTCGATGTTTAGGGGTGTCCCAACTTTAAGGGCTTCGGGTATGGTGGCTTTCATGGTTGGGGGGTTCATGGGTTTCTGGGTGTAGGGCAGAGGGGCAAAGGAGGTTTACGTGGATTGACGAGCTGAGGGCTTTTTATAATATTTTGGAGTTGGCCTGAATGAACTGGGTGTTGAGGGGTTTAAGCATGGTGGTCGGAACAGTCTAGCAATACGTTCAGACTTGCAAGGGTTGCATCGGGCCCACAAGATAGCACCTATAGAACCTGCAGAGGCGTTCAAAAGCAGCCTACAAACTGAAGCCCAACAGGTTCAGAAGTTTTTCGAGCCCCCAACATAACCTAAACAGGGCCTGGTTATTCTATTTTCTAGGTGATCTTGCGCATACCAGAGACCCAGAATCCAGACTTGTAGCACGCAAGATTACAGTAGCTGGTGCAGAAAGCAGGTTCAGGCTACACTCTAGACGGGGGTGGGAACCAGCTATGGTTCTGCCATCCGAGGAACGACTCCAGGAGCTCAGATGCAGTGGCACCGATGGTCGACACCGTGTCGACGAGGTTCGGATCCTTCGACATTTAGTGTTTGGGTTTCCTGAAGGACACACAGGGTTTAGAGCCAAATTGTAGGGTTTAGGGCCTCAGGTTTGAAGGTCCTTCAACGATCGCAGGGCATTCTGTCCCAACTCCAATGAAGCACACGACCTTAGATGAAGAAAATTCGGCTTCGAGGTTAGGGCATGCGTTGGAGCTTGTCATGGTACGATGGTGTTCATGTTGAAGCACCCATTTTAACAGGTACATGCTTTGAAACCAAGACGTTCATTATGTGTCAAAGAAAGGAAGCAAGGATTCAGGTTCATGTTGCAACTAGGATACCAGCCACCGTCCTGCGTGTCTGGCTGACGATCCTGGGACCACTCTCGCTCGCGTTCGGGGGCCTTCTGGGGTCGATCGGTCTCCTTTGCCTTTGCATTTGCTTTCCCTGGCATGGTCTCCTCGGGCTCCTTCATTGACCTCGAGACCTCCTTTGGCCCAGGTTCCTCCTGGGATTCTTTCTCCGCACACGTCTCATCGTGGGTGGCCTTTTCCTCCGCCCGCTTGTTTCTTGCAATCTCCTTCCTTGCCTTCTTCTCGGCCTTCCTTGCCTCCTTCTTTGCTTGCTTTCTTGCTGCTTTGGACTCACTTGTTGAGGGCTCGGAATGGGCCTTTGCATCTGGGGAGCCAAAAATGGCAGCATCGCTGCGCTTGATTCGCACTCGATGGGTTGGCACAGCAGGCTCAGCAGGCTCAGCAGGAGCAGGGGCATCATCATCCATCTCCTGAAGAAGCTTCTCGAGATGGTCACTCAGCCCATCACAATCCGCGGTCTCACCCTCCAGCGTGTGGTCCTTGTCATGTGGCTCCTCCTGGTCCTTGTCACGTGGCTCCTCCTGGTCCTTGTCATGTGGCTCCTCCTGGTCCTTCTCATGTGGCTCCTCCTGGTCCTTGTCACGTGGCTCCTCCTGGTCCTTGTCACGTGGCTCCTCCGAAGCTTTCTTGTTTGTCTTGGCTTTCTTGCTTGCAGTGGGTTCCTTCGCCTGTGCCGCGCGCTTCTTGCCACCCTCCTCCTTTGCAGGTTTTTCGTTGCATGCATCCTCTCCTCGCTTGGCCTTCCTCTTCGGATGTGGCACCTCTCCAACCTGGGGCTCGAGTGCCTTCTCCTCCCTCTTGGCCTTTCCCGCTTTTCCATTCGGTGTGGGATGTGGCACCTCTCCAACCTCGGGATCCAGTGCCTTCTCCCCCCTCTTGGCCTTGTTCGCCTTTCCCTTTGGGGTGGGATGCGGCACCTCTCCAACCTCGGGCTCCAGTGCTTTTTTCCCCTTTTTGGCCTTTCCAGCTTGTCCCTTCGATGTGGGATGTGTCTCCTTTGGAGCGGCTTTTCCCTTCGGTGGGACCTGTGGCACCTCTCCATCCTGGGGCTCCATGGCCTTCTCCTTCCGCTTGGCCTTTCCCTTTGGCGTGACATCTGGCACCTTTTCATCCTGGGGGGCTCGTGCAATCATTCCCTTGGATTTCTCATGTGGCACCTCTCCAGCCTGGGGCTCCAGGGCCTTCTCCTCCACCTTTCCCTTCTTGTTGTTCTTGTCTTTCTTCTGCTTAGACCCTCCCTTCAAGGAAGGAAGCTGCAAGACCTCCTCAGCCTCACCTGAATCCTTTACCCCATTCTTCCCAGCAGCAGGCACTTCGGTATCAGCTTTGGGTTTCGTGCTGTTGGTCTTAGGCTTGGACTTGTCAGGACAAGGGTTGGTGTTTGGAGCAGTGGAAGGCTCAGCCTCAGCTCTAAGCTGTATCATCACACGAATGGCATCCTCATAGGAAAGAGAATCATTCACCATCAAATCTTTGATTGTGAGATCACACGATCCATCTTCCAGCAGCATGGTGCACTCAGGGATGAGTTCACCTGGCTTGCAAGGAACATCCATCGTCTTTCGTAGCTTAGCCAAGGCTACACCTCGCCTCAGGGATTCGGCAAGACCACTGCCACTGCTAGCAGGCTTCTTCGGCTTCTTCTTATCCGTAACTTCTGTAGGGGGTTCAACGACCTCCTCCTCCTCCTCCGGTTCCTTCTCCATTGGCACTCCTTTGGTCTTGCGCGCAGGCATGATGATGCCGGCTACACTGCTCGAGGACAGCTCGAAAATCTCGTCACCTTGAGCCTTTCTGGTTGTTCCTAAACTGATAAGACTCAAGACAATGGCTTCAGATTTGGGGTGAGGGTATGTTGTTGTTGTTGTTAAGGACCCTAGTCGATCTAAAGGTTTTTGGTATAGTGCAGATTCAGCACGAATACTCTTCGATCCGAACCACTCGAAACATTCAGGCTGAATTGGAGCTTTGCAACTACATAGACAGTGCTACCTAACACAATTCAAAACATCTCGGGCAACATGGAAGCTTCTACCGGTAGGACATCAGTCTGTGTTAAAGCCCTCAGCAACAAGCCAACTCCCAGATGCCAATATTTCTAGCACGCCTCAAAACCCACAGAGCCCAATTCTCGCTAATTTTGTCGGCCGACACGATATCACCTAGCTTTGTAGTCAGCACCACCGGCTGACAGAATGAAGGAAGAATTAATACAATCGACCCAAGACCAGGAATACCATACATTCTACCGATTCTATCGCGTCAACACCATGTATCCAACACAGACAACTACACCGATCATGCTGCACATTGCAAATAATGCCAAATACCTATTTAACACTAGAACAGCAACCCAATCCCAGAAACTCGGTGTAATATTGGTAGACCACATAGACTAGAAGTTCCGAAACCACACTGAATCTTACAACACTTGTACTAGAATCTAGGACCATACCCTATACTTTCAATCCTGCGAAACATATTGTCATGTTCATATATTGCATATCCCAATACTCAGTAAGTATACCACAGAAGTGACCAGCAATACCGGAAATCACGGATATCACGAAGATCCTGGCATCCCCATATGAATCACGGAAGTAACGGCACAATCCCGAGAATCACAAGGCCTAGAAAGGATCCCGAAATTACCTGGTACGTTCCGAGCCGGCTTCACGCATCACAGAAATAACGACAATCCCGAAAATCACGGTGCAATCCTGCCGATACTTCAGAAATCACGGAAATCACCAAACATCCCGAAGCTCACGGTGAAATCCCGAACATCCCGCTGAAATCCCGGAGCTCCTGACGAAGAAGCTGCAATCACGAAAATCACTCTGCTGTTTCACTGTGCATGCATCACCACAATTGGTACCTGCAGCAACACTCCCGATCACGGATCCCACGCGGAATAACTCCATTATCACGCCAGATAGGTTCGAAACCACGCTAAATCACGCACCAAACGTTGTCCCTGCCCAAACATCCCAGGCCACCCAAATTATCATACTTCGGTATTTACACAACAGGCATAGCATTACACAGCAAAGCAACATGCAAGCTCCAGTTCAAGGAGAACGTGTTGGCTGGGGCCAGTATTGAATTTGGCATACAAAAACTGCACATATGCCGGACTCACACATCATCGTGGCTGCCCAAAAAACATTTGAGCGATTCAGCCGGTGTTGTCGAAGACTGCAGAAGGTGCCTTAACCCAGCCAGGGTCACCCGAAGCCAGCGACATGTTCATGTTTACATCAGCCCAGGCACCCTCTCAGCCCCATGAAGAATTCTTCCTTGGGTGTTTCAGAGTGAACAGAGCCAGCAAACAGCATGTGCCGATAGTCTACAATTACAACCAGGCAAACACAAGCATCACTTGCACAAGGGCCCCCTGCAGTTATCTGCTAGACAAATAGCATCGATTTCTGGGTTGGGTCAGAATGGACCATCATTTTTTGTTTGATCTGCACACCCAGCTTGTGCAAACTGTTTCACAGATATTGGGACCGACAAAACACAACCTACACATCTTTCAGCAGAGTTTCCCAATGGCCTGTGAAAGTCAGTTTGCTCTTGTGGCAGCCAAGAAGGTAGCGAAGAACATCAGGAAGTTCAGCCTCGGCAAAGCAACCACCAGCTACTCATGATTGGAGGAAGTTGTTGAACATTGCCACTGAGAAACATCCTCAAATAGATCGTCACAAGTCTCTGGTAGATGGTCACGGAACAACTCATAGTCGGTTTTCTTCCAATCCACAAACCTGGGGTCCAGAGGTCCATCGAGAACTACCTGGGCAAACGAAGCTTCATATGACCAACACCGGCAACACCCTATCCACATATAACAATATTTGAAACAAGCCGTATAGGAACAACAGCCTAGCGGCATCCTGTCGCACCCGAAAAATTTCTGCGATTTTGACCCCAAAGCCACGGGGATACTTCCTGAGCTTGTGAGAACAACACACTTCATACCCATGAGCTGTCGCTGACACAGACTGACACCAAACTAAATTAAGCCCAAGCTCTGGCTTTGTTTCAGTGCTTTCGAGACACCGGTATAGGTTGACTTCCCAAGGGCTGAAACACCCCTTTTCACAAGTTTGGTGGGTCCTAGGGCTTGCCTGGCTTCAGGGGATAAATAACCACCCTGCTTCATGATGGAGTCGATGAAGTAGAAGTCATTGCTCCATCCCAAGTGGCGTTTCGGGCTGACTCCTCCAAAATTTGCCATATGCCATTGCCCACGCCAGATCTCAGATATCCAGAATCTAGCTACAATATGACAACAACAGAACCGAAGCAGCATGCATTACATACTTATATACCACCCCGACCGAAGACAGTACTAGGTATACACCCAGACTCTGAAATCCGAGTCATCAACCAGTCCCAGCGCGGATGGTCAGAAAGACAGGAGCCATGCGGCTGCTCCAGCAGCCACCGGGCCCCCCGGTAGGAGGCAACGAGGATGAGGAGAACTACACGGCATAGAAGCAGGTTGCCTTTCTTGACAAAGTCATACCCTTTGTTTCCCAGGGGCTGAATCACAGTGCGACCACTTGTGTATCGAGACCTTAGCTAGAGGAGATATTCACCATTCACAAGTGCATCCTAGCTTTAAATTAAAGACAGCAAAGAACCTTTTGACATCTTTTAACTATCAGGCAAGATACATCGAGGAGAAAGACTCACAGCACAATGCAATGACACAGCATCCTCCTGCCTTCAACCGTCTAACCTCGTTCAATGCCAGAGCAAAACCAACCGGCTGGGTAAGATCAAAGGCCTTTGGGTTGTCCATGATCTCAAAAGATGCTCCCGATGCTCCAGCCTCCCAGTGAACAATAGACTCGTTTGGAAGAGTCCTACACTATGTGAGGGAACAGCATAAACTAAGCGACCCTAGACTAGCACATAATGGTCCTCCCGGAGACCAGACGAGACCTCTCCAGCACCAGCAAACAGTTCCACAAAGTCATTGTCCTGCCGATTGCAATGGGACCGATATCAGAATATATAAGATCAGTCCAGAAGCAAACCCCACTCCTGTCTCTGGTCCAAGACAGACATGAAGCTCATGAGAACATTCACCATGACGAGCAGCATTGGGGCACGCCAATGCAAAAGCTCTGCTACGACCATGGCTCTCTGAATTGCCGAAGCTCTGCTTGCAGCTACCAGTACAAGAAACACAGGAACTCACACGGAAAACTAATGGTGCACTTGCAGCATCACAACTCTAAGCCTCTAAGCGCTCGACACAGACCAATCTTTCAGCAGCACATCTCACACCAGACACTGAACCCGAACTTGCAGCAGACACCAGCACATAACACGCATGATGAAACGACTTGTTTCATGGGTCTGTCGAAATCAAAGTATGCACGAAGAGGGCTTCCCAAGGCACTGCAAACAGAGTCATATGACAGCAAAACCCTCATTCCTTTCACTGCTCTCCCTTGCACAGAATGAACCTCATGGTCTCCGTGACACGAATGAAATGAAGTTGAAAGGATCGGTACATGCAGTCGGCGCAGCTCAGGACACCAATCGGGGAAGTTCACGATCACTCGCGCTTTTGGGCCTGAGATACTACACCACAGATTAACAGAGTACTTATTACATTCTTACCTGTTCACCATCAGAAGACTCAGAACAGCAAGATCATGATTGGTCTTCAGTTGTCATGCAAGAACAAGCGCAACTGCAAACGGTATAACTTGATGACAAGCAGCAGCGGTTGCACCACGGCCAATGCACTCGGCGTACTCGTCATCCTTCGGAGGCAGCGCGAAATTCAGCTACCAGAACCAGACATAAACAAATCTGCACAACAAGTCGTTTTGCACATACAAACCCAATCTGAAGACCCACTTGAAGAGTGCAACTCCCCGCCCCTCCCCACACGTGCAGCCCTCGATCCTTGGCACCCAGGCCAACAGTGGTTCCAGGAATGCAAACTCCGCATCTATGTCCAAGCACATCACTTGACTGCTCCAGCTTGAACAGCACATATGAGCAATGGAGTCAAGACTCGAAGCACATTTGCACTGGCAGCGAAATTTGGCCGAGCACAAAACGAATACTCAGCATACGTCATTTTCTTCATGCAGCATGTTTGCAGAGTCACACTAGAGGCAGCTCATTAAGTTGCACTTGCATTCCAAAAGCTTTGATGAAAAGCTGCTACATGCATCATCTAACTTGCAAGAATTGCACGGCGACTAGATAAATCGTCGCCGACGAAGCTCAGACAGCGGCATCTCTCGCAACAACTCGGCACGCTCATCACTCTCATTCCACCAAACATTGGCAGTTTTGTAGTCGCAGCCATAGTGTTGCTTCATGTCCCTTATGTACGACAACCAAGCGGCCCGATACTGACCCGGAACATACCGACCGAACGCTTTCGCTTTCGTAGGCCCCTCAGCCGATTCCTTCACAGCACATGTCTCCTTCTCCTTTGGAGTCTTCGCGACACACGCTGCTTGGAGTGGCTTCTTGACTCTCCGGAGCTTCTTGGCTCGCTTGTTCTTGCACACCTTTTGTTTCTTGGCCTTGGCTCGAAGACCTTTTTACTTTCCCGCTTTCTCCCCAGGATCATCCCCTTCTTCATCTTCATTGGGAGCTGAACACTTCCACCTTGGAGCTGTTGGGCAGGGTTCCACATAGTTACATCCCGATTCCCAAACTTGGCTGCAGTCAGCACACACCAAAGTTAAAGAGCCCAGCAGCTGAACACTCGGAAGGAAGGGCTTCGTCTCCACCTTCGAGACCGACTTCATGCTGGCTAGTACCTGGGATGGCTGGGCGAGGGACGCTTGGCACAGACACTGGCTGAATTAGCACATATATGTCGTTTAAAGGTAGTATCTACCAACCTGTTCCGAAGCAACAGCATCACTATAGGACCGTCCGTGCTTCATCAAAATAAATAGATCACAGAGCTCGTTTGGGCTGAATGGCGTTTCTCCTCTAGGGTTCATACAACTTTCACGGTATGAAATGAGACGCAAGCCTTCGTCAGCACTTCACGAACATGCCAGCTCTAAGATCTTGAATCTTCCCGGACCAAAGAGCAACCACAACTTCAAAGAAATCACCGATGCAGCGAGTTGAGCCAAGCAACAGTAGGTGGCAACACGTAGGCATTCTCGTTATTCACAATCGTCTTCTTCGACTCAGGAGAGGCCTTCACCGTCGCGACCAACTTCCTGGGATGAAAGTACAGCAACAGTAAGTACTAGCAGTAGCAGTAGTAGTTGTAGCAGTAGCAGTAGCAGTAGCAGTAGCAGTAGTAGTAGTAGTAGTAGTAGTAGTAGTAGTAGTAGTAGTAGTAGTAGTAGTAGTAGTGGTAGTGGTAGTAGTAGCAGTAGTAGTAGTAGTAGTAATAATCATAATAGTAGTAGTAGTAGTAGTAGTAGTAGGAGTAGTACTGGTTAGTTAGTAGTCCCAGTTGTCGTAAAAGTATTAGTATTAGTAGCAGTAGTAGTAGTAGTAGTAGTAGTAGCAGTAGTAGTAGTAGTAGTAGTAGTAGTAGTAGTACTAGTAGTAGTAAATAGTTCGTAGTCCTAGTAGTTAGTAGTAGTAGTCGTCCTAGTAGTCAGTAGTAGTAGTAGCAGCAGCAGTAGTAGTAGTAGTAGTAGCACTAGCAATAGTACTAGTACTCGTACTAGTATTAGCACTAGCACTAGCACTAGTTGTACAACTAGTATTATTAGTATTAGTACTGATACTGGTGCTGAATTTAGTACCAGTAGTACTAGTACTAGTTCCAGCATCAGTAGCACAGTAGCAACAGCAGCAGCAGTAGCAGTGGTAGAATTAGGAGTACCAGCAGGGGTAGGTGTAGGAGGAGTCGAGGTAACCAAGAGCAGGATCAGCAGTAGCAGAAGCAGTAACAGTAGCAGAATTAGTCGTAGTAGAAGTGGTAGTGTAGTAGTCGTAGCAGTAGTGGTAGTAGTGGCAGCAGGTAGTAGCAGCAGCTGTAGGCATGTACCCCTAGCCATAGAAGCAGCCACACGAGTAGTTGTAGTAGTAGTAGTAGCAGCAGTAGTAGTATTGGTAGTGGTAGTGGCAGTGGCAGTGGCAGTGGTAGTAGTACTGGTAGCGGTAGCAGTAGCGGTAGCGGTAGCAGTAGTGGTAGTGGTGGTAGTAGCCACAGTAGCAGCAGCAACATAGTAGTGAAAATAGTAATTGGCAAGTAGTAGTTGTAATAGAAGAAGAAAAAGTAGTAGTAGCCGGTAGTAGTAGTAGCAGTAGTAGGAGAAGTAATAGTAGTAGCAGTATAGTAGCATAGGTATTAGTTTCTGACTTCTGGTAGCAATACCACTACTCCTAGTACGATTACTATTCTTACTACAACAACAACAACAACTACTACTACTACCACTACTACTCATACTACTAATACTACTAATACTACGACTAGTACTTGCGTACAATTACTAGCAGTACTCGTGGCAATAGTTTCGGCAGCAACAGCAGTAGCTGTAGCAGTAGCCACAGACTAGCAGAAGCAGTAGCAGCAGCTGTGGCCGTACCCGTAGCTGTGGCAGCAGCAGGAGGAGTAGATGCAGAAGTAGTAATAGTAGTGGTAGGGGTCGTGGTCGTGGTGGTTAGTGGTGGTGCTGGTGGTGGTAGTGGTTGTAGTGGTCGTGGCAGCCGTAGTACAAGAAGTGGTTGTGGTGATGGTAGTGGTACAGTGGTAGTACTAGCGGCAAAAGAAGCAGTAGGAATATCGGTTTTCTCACCTTGGAGCTCCAGTAGATTAAGGGGTTTAGGAATCAGTTGAATACCAGCGGATGTAGAGAGCACACAAAGAACTGAAGGTATGTGGGTGGTTTGGTGTTTAAGGTAGAGTATCGGACACAAACCCCAGCCGGCCCCCGAAGTCATGTTGTTGAAGCCTACACACTGAACACTCAACCAAACCCCACAATAACGGACACGATCTGGCTGACCCTTGAA